AGGTTAAACAAGCAAGCTAGATATTTTCCTCAATGCATAAAATTCTGGGTAGAATGAATTGATTGGCACTTACTATAGAATTATTTATTTACGGAATGTGATGAGCTCACAGAAGATAACAGACACACAGATATATAAAAAATATGGAAAATAAGTTATTAATGTTTGAAATAGATTAAGCAATATTTCTGCTAATTTCTGGGATGAGGAGTTACTTACACTATTTACATGTGGACTTGTTCTCATCATTGTTGGAGTTATTAAAGTTTCAGCCGTTCGACCCGGGTAACCGACAGGGAATTTTCAACCCTTTATTTAATGTTTTTGTTCCACTGTCTAAGAATATCTCGTTTTCAGTATCTGTTTAATATTCTGAGATGAGGTAATATGTAGACTATTTACATTATTCGGACTATTGTCTTCATCTTTTTCGCCATATTTATCATAACGTTTCGGCCGTTGTACACTCTGGCCTTCTTCAGGTGGTTGGAATGTCGAACTGAAACACTTTATAGGTGATAGGCAAAAATAAAATTGAATAAAATATTTTAAATTTTCGGTATTTTTTCTTTTCTGCTCTGACCTGGCATCTTGACATCAGTCCCTTTTCCGTAATTCGGCTTTCCTCTGTCTTTTCTATAAATATTTTCATGATTATTGCTTTAATGAGATCTTCTCTTTAGTACCCCAGCCGCATGTATTTAACACTTTGAGCCTTGCATTCCTGAACAATTCTAACCCTTCTGCCTAAAACCCTGAATTAAAATCCGCAAATAATTCGTATGTAATGTTTTCACGGAAGTAGTTACAATACATGTCTATATTTCTGAGATAAGGTATTATGTCCACTATTTACATTACTCGGACTATTGCCTTCATCTTTGTCGCCAGATTTATCACAACGTTTCGGTCGTTTTACGCTCCGGCCTTCTTCAGGCGGTTGGAATGTCGAAATGAACCCTTTATTTCGCTCACTGGGTTAGACTGTTCTAGTTCTACGTGCCATGTCTAATGGATGTCAGTTATCAGTTATTTCCTGTTAATTCCCCTTTCCAAGTTCTCTACTGCCTTAACCATGAACACAGGCACAGGGACAGGACCCAAAGAGTGTAAGTTCAATGCTTAGTCTGGCAATTGGACAATTTTGCTGTTAATCCGGTACAGTGCTCGACCCACTGATTGAACTCAAAATCAATGTCATCATTTTCACGAACCAACATTAATCCAAAGAGGACATCGTAGTTGATTAAAGCGTTGGTTTGTGTAGTTGGTGAGATAATTGTGAATTCAATCCTTTGGACAAGTAGTGTGTATTTGGACACAGTGGAAACGAGCAAGCGATAACTGAGCAGTATTAAAAGTAATAACTCGACATTGACAGTCGAATAAGAACAGTTTACTAGCGTAGATTAAATAAAGGTTTCAGTTCAGAAATTACCCTGATCGACATGCACCTGATTTAGACCGGAGGGTTTAAAGGCCAAAACGTTATGATAAAAACAAAGTAAATAGTGCAAATAAAGAATAAGCAAAAATTTAAAAAAAAAAAAAAAAAAAATTCTACACATCGTTGAAAGAATATCCTAGCTCTTGATGCAGAAAAATAACAGAACGCGTGCTGGTTTTGTTGTGCCAAACGGTTCCATTGAAATATGTTGGAAAGAAAGTCCTGTCACATGTAAAAGTGAAACAGAAACAAATTGAAATATGTTGGAAAGAAAGTCCTGTCACATGTAAAAGTGAAACAGAAACAAATTGAAATATGTTGGAAAGAAAGTCCTGTCACATGTAAAAGTGAAACAGAAACAAATTGAAATATGTTGGAAAGAAAGTCCTGTCACATGTAAAAGTGAAACAGAAACAAATTGAAATATGTTGGAAAAGAAAGTCCTGTCACATGTAAAAAGTGAAACAGAAACAAATTGAAATATGTTGGAAAGAAAGTCCTGTCACATGTAAAAGTGAAACAGAAACAAATTGAAATATGTTGGAAAGAAAGTCCTGTCACATGTAAAAGTGAAACAGAAACAAATTGAAATATGTTGGAAAGAAAGTGCTCTCATAATTAAAAATGAAAAAGAAACCAATTTAAATATTTTGGAAAGAAAGTGTTGTCATATTTAAAGATGAAAAAAAGAAACAAATTGAGATATGTTGAAAAGAAAGTGCTGTCACATTTAAAGATGAAAAAAGAAACAAATTGAAATATGTTGAAAAGAAAGTGCTGTCACATTTAAAGATGAAAAAGAAACAAATTGAAATATTTTGGAAAGAAAGTGCTGTTACATTTAAACATGAAAAAAGAAACAAATTGAAATATATTGGAAATAAAGTGCTGTCACATTTAAACATGAAAAAAGAAACAAATTGAAATATATTGGAAATAAAGTGCTGTCACATTTAAAGGTGAAAAAGAAACATTAAAATATGTTGGAAAGAAAGTGCTGTCACATTTAAAGATGAAAAAGAAACAAATTTAAATATTTTGGAAAGAAAGTGCTGTTACATTTAAACATGAAAAAAGAAACAAATTGAAATATGTTGGAAAGAAAGTGCTGTCACATTTAAACATGAAAAAAAAGAAACACACTGAAATATGTTGGAAAGAAAGTCCTGTGACATTTAAAAATGAAAAAAAAACAAGAAGCAAGTTTTTGTGGAGAAACAAATGTATACATACGGCACGTTTTACATTCACTGAAAATCTTTATTTGTGCAAAGAGATGCATACTTGATGAAGTAGCATCTTTAGTTAAAAAAGCCACCCACCGATTCTACGAAGTAATTAAATGTATGACAAAAGAACTAGTAAGAATGGGAAGGAATAGTATGGATTATAATCAGAGCTCTCTACAGAATCACTTACATCGTGTCTCCTTTTGTATTTTGGTTGAAATCATAAAATTAACTTTCCCTTGGAGAGGTGATGCTAATCAGGGTCATTAACCTGAAGTCGAACATGGAACTTCTGATTGCTTTCTGCGAAGGCTGTTTAGGAAGATGTTAAATTTGGTTAATCTCATATTAGTAGTGTGAAGAACAGGATTTTTTATTACGATGATATGAATTTGTGGTGATCTGTATAAAAAAAATCTTTCCCGGTGACGAATTCGATTCGGTTTGTTTTGTTTTACAGCATATCAATCTAAATGAATTATTTATTGCTGATAATATTTTTGTTCCAAAAATGTATTGCTGGTAATATTTTTCTTTTTCGTATATGTACTGCTGGTAATAAATTTTCCCCAAAAGTATTGCTGGTATTAAAACTTATTTTTATACTTTCATAGTGTTTTGACCTCTTTGGCGGGGATTAACTGTTTGCCCATAGCTGAGACCCTGACAGGTGCCACCACCTCGGATCAGAGTGGACCTGGTAACACCAACAATTAAGAGTAGGTTCCACGCTCCTCAAAATCTCCTGATCAAATGTCTTGCTGTCGGATGTAGTTAATCGCCATACCCAGGAGGGAATGAATTCGAGAAACGAGATAGGATTATATTTCCTAAGAGACCATGTCTTTCTACGGCCTTCTGTGTTTTGTTGCTCTAATTTTTGATCGTTTAACATATTTGTTTTTCTTAACTAATCTACCAGCTATTTATTCAAAATAGTCAAATAGGATATTAATTGCGTACCCCTCTTCTTCACTGGTCTTGTACATAACCTATTTTTTTCCTCATATTTTAACTATCACTGAAGTTTAATTATAGCTTCTATTCTTACAACTCAAGATTTGTTCATATGTTCAGCTTCTGTCGGTAGAACCAGCTTTTTGCTGATTCTTGGCATTTTCCGGCTGAAGAAATTATCCATCCTCTCCTCCATGTAGGAGACCTAAACACATTTAATACATAGCAAATTATCATACATCTCTTCGTCATCATTTCTTTGAGTCTTCGAAATTCTATGTCAAACTTTCCATTTTCTTTTATTACACTACATCTCCCGATATGTAGCTAACATGAACTTTGTTTTACTGACAAACATATATTGTTTTCTTGCAATCAATAATTACCGTAATTCCCCGTGTACAATACGACTTCATCCATAATTCGAACACCTAAATTTGTGCTGGAAGTGTGGAAAAATGTTTCTACTTACCTATAATACGCACCCCTCCATTGGTAACGAAACCCTATAAATTGTACCTCTCCAATTTCATTACGACCAGCGTTTCCGACTCTTATTTAAAAAAATGGTTTTAAACATCGAATAATATTATTCTAATTTAGTTTTATAAGAAGTCTTATTTTATTTTACGGCAATTTTTAAAAGATTTTTTGTAGCTGTGCATAATATCCACCCCTGATTGTGCTATACTTTTTTAGAAAAAAATGCGTATTATACATGGGGAATTGCGGTATTCCATCTTTTCATAGACATACTTGTCTGGAAATTCTCAATTTTTACAAAATCTAACAGCAATAATCATTTGCGCAGCGTAAGTTTTAAGGGTGAGATTCATCGACCATTACATCTGGTAGGTGTTCTAATATTGGTCTTAAATAAAGACGAGAGAAAATATAGATTTGTCCGACTCCACATTCATATTTTTTATGGCCAATCCTAAACTATTTTACCACATGCAATTTGCTTCCAAGCGTTTAGGGATAAATTGGATAGCTGGATTTACATGTATTTTCCTTTAAATCAAGTGTTCCTAACATTACAATAAATTCCTCGTATCAAACGTCATTGTGCAATATGTGAAGTAGGAATAGATATTTATTCGTAAAATATTGTACAAAACGTGGCACAAGGCCAAAAAAGGGGATTGGGGAAAAGGTCTGTTTTCTTCTGTCTTAATCCTGAACTTAGCTAGTCACAAACACTGACCCAAACATACCAACAATAGTCCTATCACCAAAACAACACATTCTCTCCTACCTTTCTTACTACATCCACCATAATACCTCAATATTTCTATGAAATACTAACTAGTCCCCATATGTACATTTCAAAGTCTGTGGGGGGAGGGGAATCCAAACAACAATTTAAAAACCCCAATGATTATTTACAATATGAATTAATGGTATTTACATGAAAACAAAACAAAATAAGGATAGTAATAAAAAAACACCCACCATCCCTAAATGTGGCAGAAACATCGGTTAACTGGACGAAAAATTTGCGCGATTGTAATAGTATAAAAACAATCATCCATCCAAAAGCACTCACACAAACACGCACTGATTCAGTCACAACAATAAATACGAAAACACAGACGCGAAACGAAAGGCATCCCGCAACGACCAGAGAACTGACATCACTGATCACCTAAAAGAAGGAGGAGATGGGGAATTAATCTAAAGAAAAATAGGGACAGAAATAAAAGGGGCCAATATGCATACATACCCTAGCTAAGTTAACCGGAAACAAGAAACTAAAGATCCAAACTAAACCTAAACTAGACTAATATCGGGACAGGTTGCCTCTGTTCAATCCAGGAAGGACAAAATCCTGTACCTAACCGACATCAAAGTGCCATTCCAGATCAGCCCCTTTCACTCTACACTGTTGCGCAAGATTTACCCACCTTCTGCCGAATTCTGATGAAGAGAGTCGCCGCCTTTCCGTCCTAATTTTGACTTTAAGCTGATGCTTAAAGTACAAGATCAGTTGAGAAGAAGTAAACTCCTCACGTCCATAGAATCCCTTCTGACGTGGCGACCAAATCACGACACTCATAATACCTAGCAAGCAGTGGAACACATATTCAGCCTTCGTCAACGGCAGTGCCACATTGCTACAAACAGAAGAGACCTCAAGTACAAAGAACTTTCCTTGCAGCATGCGAACCATGAGGCCTTCAACGAACTTACACAACGTTGCTACCACCCTGCAATGAAAGAAAGCGTGACCCAGTGTCACGACATCCCCATCACAGCGTCGGCAGTTTGGAGGTTTCTCCAGGCCCGCTGAGCGAAGATTTTGGCGACCCAGAGAGCCCCAGGTGAGAGATGCCTCATCGTTTTTTAGATATTTTAACCCGGGCGTCTAAGGTCAGATTGAGCGAGCCTTCTGCTTCGTAAGACCGAGCTCGTCAATCAAATCATCATGAACGTGGCGACCAAATGATGTTACTTGATATGATACCCTACGAGACAACGCCTGGACGGTAGAGAGGCCATCCGTCGCCCGTAAGAGGCGTTTCAGAGCAAGACGACATTCACGATAGAAGGAGCAATCTTCGCACGAGTGCACACTTCTCAAGGATGGGAAATTTCTATGGGTGTCTTCCTTCCAGAAGGCGCCCTCCTCAACCGATTCGCGACACAAACGATCTAGAAAAGCCGATGCGAATCATATCAATACGAATCTCAATGCTAGGCATATCTAGACCGCCTTCAGATTGTCTTATTTCCAGATCAAATCATCTCCGAAATATGTTCATTGGACTCATAATTTTTTTTTTTATTTTAGATATATGGTTGACTGCCCGTTAGTGTTCCCCATCATATGTTCTTTTTGGTGTGCCCTACGAGGTTAGATCTATTTAGTTCTTCCGCCGCAATATTTCTTTTATCTGATCGGTAACATTTTTACTATATCGATCTATAAAAGTTTCTTTTTGTTCCTCCATTTAATTGCTTTGGAGGAGAAGGTTTTTTTTCGGTGATGCGGGTGTAGTATCTGTTCTGTGCCGGAGGCCTTCTCTTCTCTCTTTGCTTCCCCGCTACCGTGACATCAGTTACGTAGCGGTGGTATGACCGGCTATGACTAGCTTACACAAGCATTGACGAGCTTAGACCAGCGGCCCGAGTGGCAGCAGAAGTCGCTGCAGCGTTGCGGGCATTGCAGGTTGCCCACTGCAGCTCTGTCTCTGACTCCCTCGACCTAGCTGTTGCAGCAGCGTCCTTGGATTGACAGGCGCCCTCGACCTGGCAAATGGTGGCAGCATTTGTAGCATTTCGAACAGACCTACGGAGCAGTGTCTCAGCAGCCCTAGCGGTTGCTGTTGCATCAGCGTCCAGGGATTGACGGTCACGCCTGCGGTCAAATGTTTCAGCTCCCCACGACCTGCTAGTGGTGGCAGCATTCGTAGCATTTCGAACAGACCCACGGAGCGGAGTTTCAGCAGCCCTAGCGGTCGCTTTTGCAGCAGCGTCCCTGGATTGACGGTCTCGCCTGCGGTCAAGTGTCTCTATTGCCTTGGAGTTCGCGGTGGCAGCAGCGTTTCTTACATTACGAAGAAGCCTTTGATGATAAGTCTCGGAAGCCCAAGATGCAGAGGGGTTTGCTGCAGCCTGTGCGTTCATTCTCGACCGCTGTGCATTCTTGAGCCTTGATCGCAACGAAGCCTTGTAGGCAGCTTTCCCGGCCAAGCAGCAGGCACGCTCCTCTTGTGACTGCGAGGCCTGCGTTAGGACGCTGCGTTGAGCGACCTGTGATAGTCGCATTGTAGTCTGCTCCTGGGACTCGCAGGCCCTTCTTGCCCTCATAGCAGACGCTCTTTCAGACCGAAGACTAAGACGTACCCTCATTTTTGGCGGCATAGGGAAAAGTGATGCTAGTAGTGGTTGATTAGGGTTGCTCAATTGCAGGAGTACATAGTTTAACTTAGCGTGAGCGTGATCCAGAATCGAGAAGGCAGGTATTTAAGTAAAACAGCTGAATAAATTGTTTATGGTAGTTTGAAAAATGTAGTTAAACATGAACATTATTGATATTGTACCCGATTTTATAAATAATATTTTTTATATAATTTTATAATAATAATTACAATATTCACTGGTGACGTTAAAATGATTGCTAATAATCTGAATAAATTCCATTAAAAAGACGAATTCTCTGCAACTGTGACAACGTGAATGGCTTCTGAAATTTAACCTTAAAAAATCTAATATCCCAAATGTGTTATATATAGTAGAATCCCTCACCTTCCCTGCCCTCCATTAGAATGTGTGACGCTCAACTGCTAGAGAGCACCTCTCTGCGGCTTCTCGGTCTCACGTTGACGGCTAACCTGAGATGGAACAAATACATTGAGTCAATTGCTTCGTCCACCGCAAGGAAAGTTGGCTCCCTGTGTCGCGCCAGGAAATTTTTCTCCCCGGAATCGATCCTTCAGATCTACAAATCAACAATTCGCCCTTGCATGGAGTATTGCTGCCATATATGGTCTGGAGCCCCTTCTGTTTGCCTTGGGGTTCTTGATAGGCTCCAGAGGCGGATATGCAATATAATTGGCCCTGTTCTGGCATCTCGTCTACAAGCACTTTCTTGCTCCGAGGAGCTGCACTCGCTGGTTCCCAGACTTCATGAGTTCAAGCGCCGACTAGGCTGGCATCCCGCTCTCCCCCCTTCACTGTCGAAACTTCTAAATGTAGCCGTCTCTTCTACTCCAGTAGCTTCATGTCTCGCACCTCTCGCCTGTGGAACCCCCTTCCCTATTCCAGTTTCCATGAGAGCTATAATCTCCAGCTATTCAAATGTAATGTCAATCGACATCTCCAGTTGCCTTGATCTATCCACTACCCTTCTCCTCATCCTTTCTTCTATCACTCATATCTGATCTTGCTCCAAATTTTCTGTAACCCCTTGCGTCCTAGTGGCTTCCCGCTTTGCTTGGGGTGAAACGCTTAAAAAAAATATCCTTAATCTCGCATAATCCGCACATGATTTGGATATGTATATTTGAACTATTTGGGTGATATGTAACGGATCTGAAATTTCTGTTTTTCAGGAAATTTACTTTGGATAATAGCTTATGCTCATTTCACCCTAATGGCCTGTATCGGTGCAAAAGGTGATGGGAATCAGAGGAAAAGATCAACTTTGGAGTTATCGCAAACAGTGGAAATTTTAAACAGAATAGACGCTGGTGAAAGTTCATTGCAACTAATGGCTGAGTTCAACATAGAAAAGTCAACACTGTATGATATAAAATCTACCAAAGAAACTATTTTGTAGCGTTCACATCGTCATAGTGAACAATGAAAACCATGATGGTGATGAATCCTGGACTTAAATTGAAAAGGTTGTCAGTTTTATAGAAAGAAAGCCAGCATTCAGCTAGACGATCGCAAAAAGAAAAAGAAAAAAAAGACTTAAATGTGTCTTTCATTTAAAAAAATAATCAAGAACAAAGGCAAAACGAAATGCGGAAAAAGGTTGAAAATGACATTAGAAGAGAAAGAATCATCATGCAACAGCGATTAAAAAATCCTCGTTAAATTATTTGTTTTGCATACGTGGCATACTTAATTTAATTAATTTTCATTAAAATTACATGATTTATTTCTTTTTCCTTAAAATCAGTTCCATTATCTTTTACTCACCATTAGCTTATTTTATTTAATATAAAGCATAGAAAATAAATGTTAAACTTGATTTCAGTTCTTTTATTTTAATCTAAATATAACCCTCATATCCGGACTTTGTAACCAATTCCTCATATCCGGAAGGCCTTCTTAGTCCGGTTGTCAGATATTCTACTGTATAGTGAAAACGGTCAACTATGACATGTTTGCTAAGAAATACATCTCGGAACATATGACACCGGCTTATAAGACACCACATTCAAAATTGGTCTCAATCTTAGCCTAAGTTTCCTAGCGAAATTTGTTGACTATCTTTGTCATCGTGCATGTACAAAGAAAATCCATAAAATTAAATATGGGTGGGGATTGAAAAAAAATTGGGCATCATGACATTTTTAGAGCACAAAATACGTGGTGACCTGATGAAACGTTTAACATTTTTCAGACACATACGAACAAACTTTTTTAGAATATCAAAAAATTTAATCGCTTATACTATGGGATGAAGAATGCAATTACATTTTTCTTGTGTTAAAATAATGCTTGTACAAAAAAAGTTAAAATACTTCCAGAACACCTGCGAAAAATTCTGCTAAATCTTAATCTTAACTTTTTCACTTTATACTTAGGCATCTTTTTGGCATGCGTAGTGTGTGTGTGGGGGGGGGGTGTCAATTTACAATGATTTTACACAGCAAACTGAACCCCGAAATTTAATTTTAATTATATTTGTGATCTGGAAAACTTATACGATAGGAATAGGTAAAATATTTTAAAAGGTTGATTATATCTTAGAGGTGCGTATATGTAGAAACGGTTTCTAACAATTACACCACGCTTGCTAACCTTTACACCACGCCAAAGTGCCTATATATAGTAATTTTACAAGCGTAGCTTAGATGTGGCACAAGGCCGAAATTATGGAGCACCCTGTGAGGATCGAACTCACTACTCGGTCGTAACTGTTTTAGCGAGACAAGCTTGCTAGCAATTACATCGCTTCGAGATGCTCAAACAATTTTCTAAACGCAGCTTAGATGTGGCACAAGGCCGAAAGTGTGGAGCACCCAGCGAGGATCGATGTCACTTCTCAGTCGTAATTGATCTAGCGAGATAAGCTTGCTAACCATTACACCATGTCGAGGTGTCCAAGTTTATCTTTATAAGCAATGTTGTGTAGAGTTTTGAACGAGTTTTATATATTGTTTTATTTTTAAAAACTTGCGGATTTGAATTGATTTTTATTATTCAAATATATTTTTTTAAAATGTAAAATAATTCTGAAAGCGATTTTATGAAACTGAAAGGAGATTTGAATAGTTTTTAAGGAAAGTATATTCAAATTCTATTTTTCAAATAGTTGTATTTTTCATCATTTTCTGTTGAGCTATCCAAGGAAGCATAAAATTAAAGAAAATCGACAAGGAAACAAATTGCAAGAGAACCGCTACAAAAATGAATGCTTCCTATTTTGTTATTTCAAGATGCCGAAGTCGGATATTATTGCTGTGACAAACACTGAAATATCCCGCCAATACCAAAGTCAGTAAGAGATATTTAAAGAGATTTATCTAAATTTAATATAAATTTTATTACAACTACTTAAACACATACAAAGATTTAACACAAAATAAAATGGAAAATCTGTAACCGGAATTAGCTATATAGATTTGGAGAATTTGACTGTTTCAGGTGGGAGAAGACCGATATACTTTCCTTGGGTTGTTTGAATCTTACAATATCTATTATACAAAAGTGGCATGCGTATGGTGGAGGGATGGTCTTAATCTATCTTGAACTTAAACTTAGCGAGCCACAATCAGTGACCCAGTCATGCTACAGTAGTCCTTGCACCAAAATACCATATTCATCCATACTATATTTACTACATCCACCATAATACCGCATTGACTCTATGAAGTCCAAATAGTTCCCATAAGTACAATTTATCTGGGGAGGTGGGAATAGAATAATTTTTAAACACTTGACCCCGATGGATATTTACAATGAAAACAAATTTATATACAGAAACAAAACAAAATTGTGTTAGTAACGAACTGCAGCCTCGGCCAACTTTTATACCTCCGACCAATTCATTTCCAACAAGAGATCGTGACCAAAGCAGACGCCGAGTATCTTGATTGGCCCGTCCGTCCCGAGGAAAAGTCCGGGAAGAGAAATTTCCTTCCATGCAATCAACGGCAAGACAACAGACTTATCGCGGTTGATCTTGGCCCTTGTCACATGTCTCGTACCATCTGATTCCTTTGCTGACTTTGTCAATCTCGGCTCTGCTTGACACAAGGACCGAAACGTTATCGGCATAGGCGGAGTAGCTGGTCGAGGTGGTAGCACCAGGTAAGTGAACTCCGTGCAGGACCGGATTCGTCTTTAACTTGCGAAGGAACCGCTCCAACAAAAGAACGTACAGCAAAGGCGAAAACGAGACGATACGAAAGGCTCCGATCGTACTCCATTCACTTCCACATTCATTTGCTGCGGAATAGCTATCGAGTGGAATATTCACTTGTCTTGATTATTGCACACGCAGCGCACAACTGAGCGTGTGTACGTAAATAGTTCTCTTGCGCAGTAATTGTGACAAGTAAGATCAGTAAAAAAAAAGCCCGTTAACTACATTCTTCCGCGCTTAGCTTTCCGCAGTGAATGTATACAAATAGCGCCAGAATTTTCTGTCCATTGTAGCTTTTAATAAAATTTTCGTTTTGGTCTCTCTGCTAGTTACTTTTTTGCCAAGCATTTACACAAACTCGCTTGCTAGGTAGGTTGTCTTTCTGTCTCTCTTGCTTTAAATACTTTCTGTGAATGTTAAATTTTCTAAGCCTTCTTTCCTCATTATGTGCTTTAGAAGTTCCAAATATTTATGTCTGATAATAAGTGTTGTTTACATTTTCTTCAAACCTTCGTCGTTTCTCATATGCTAAGTCTGTGGAATCCTCAGTATCCTCCTGTAGAACCACAGTTCTGTTGCCTCAAGTCTCTTCATCAGTGATGAGGTGGCCCGGCATTCACTGCCATATAAGAAATACGATATTACATAACTGTTCAGCACCCTTCTCTTTGTTTGTAAAGAATACTTCCTGTTTCTTAATATTTTGCTTAGCTTTTGGTAGGCATTTGTTGCTATCCTGATGAGATATTTAACTCTTCTTGTTTGATTTTAATATCGCAATTTGTAATTCGTATGTTAGGAAGTTCCTTTTGTTGAACAC